ACAGAATTCACCATACCAACAGGTCAAAGGTGGAAAGAATACTGTCATCTTCAAAATGCTTAGGAAGCATTTTATTTTATTTTATTTTATTTGAGACAGAGTCGCACTTTGTCTTCCTCAGTAGACTGCTGTGGTGTCGTAACTCACAGCAACCTCAAACTCTTGGGCTCAAGGGATTCTCTTGCCTCAGCCTCCCAAGTAGTTGGGGCTATAGGCACCCACCACAACACCTGGTACCTGGCTATTTTTAGAGACAGGACCTTGCTCTGGCTCAGGCTGGTCTCAAATCCACGAGCTCAGGCAATCCACCCATCAGCCTCCCTGAGTGTTGGGATTCCAGGCATGAGCCACCAAGCCCGGGCTATTTTTTTGTTTTGTTTTCTTGTTTGAGACAGTCTCACTGTGTTGCCCTCAGTGAGTTCAATGGACACGTAGCTCAGAGCAACCTTAAACTCTAGGGTGGGCATCCTCAAACTACGGCCCGCGGGCCACATGCAGCCCGCCTAGTACATTTATCCAGCCCACCAGGTGTTTTTCCCGCCACTGACTATCCTGCTTAGCAGCCAACTCATCCTGGGACCTGCAGTCCAGCCCTCTAATGGTCTGAGGGACAGTGAACTGGTCCCCTGTTTAAAAAGTTTGAGGACCCCTGCAGAGCTCAAGAGATCCATTTGCCTCAGCCTTTTGAGCAGCTGGGACTACAGGCACTCACCACAATGGCTGGCTATTTTTAGAAACTGGGGTCTTTAAAAAAGAGAGAGAGAGAATGGGGGTCTTAATCTTGCTCAGGCTGGTCTCAAACTCCTGAGCTCAGGTGGATCACCCTTGGCCTTGGCCAGAGTGCTAGGATTCTGCCTTGGCCTCCCAGAGTGCTAGGATTATAGGCATAAGCCACCTCACCCAGCCTGCTTTCATTTTCATATGAATTTTAAGACCAGCTTCTCCATTTCTGCAAAAAAAGGTAGTTGAAATATTGACAGACATTGTATTGAATCTGTAGATCAATTTGGGAAGTACTACCATCTTTCTTTTTTTTTCTGAGATAGAGTCTCACTTTGTCTTCCTCAGTAGAGTGCCGTGGCATCATAGCTCATCGAATCCTCAAACTCTCATGCTCAAATGGTTCTCTTGCCTCAGCCTCCCAAGTAGCTGAGACTTACAGGCGTCGCCACAATGCCTGGCTATTTTTAGAGACAAGGTCTCACTTTTGCTCAGGCTGGTCTCAAACTCCTAGCTCAAGCAATCTACCTGCCTCAGTCTTCCAGAGTGCTAGAATTACAGGCATGAGCCACAGTACACAGCCTCCATTCTCAAGTTTTTAAAAAATTCTGGAGAAAGAAGAAGCATTATATGGCTTAAGGGCAGACAAACCCAGGAACAGGAAGTCTCTTAGGTCTCTCCAACCTGTTTCATCATTTGAAAAATGAGTATTGGGCAGTGCCTGTGGTTCAGTGAGTAGGGCGTGGGCCCCATATGCCAGAGGTGGCAGGTTCAAACCTGGTCCTGGCTGGACTGCAACAGCAACAAAAATAGCTGGGCATTGTGGTGGGCTCCTGTAGTCCCAGCTACTTGGGAGACTGAGGCAAGAGAATTGCCTAAGCCCAAGAGCTGGAGGTTGCTGTGAGCTGTGATGCCATAGGGCTCTACTGAGGGTGATAAAGTGAGACTCTGTCTCTACCAAAAAAAAAAAAAAAAAAAAGAAAGAAAGAAAAGAAAAATGAGTATCTTTCTATGTAATGAATTAATGTAGAAAATCGTATTGCACAGTACCAAACACAGAACAGCCTTCAGTCAGTGAAAGCTTAGTATTTGTACTAATAAAATAGAAACAGAAGAATATTTCCTCAATATGATTCTTTTTGTTTGTTTTTGTTTTAGCAGGCCCAGGCTGGGTTTTAACCCACCAGCCCTGTGCATGTGGCTGGCGCCCTACCCACTGGGCTAGGGCACCACCCTCAATATGATTTTTTTTTTTCAGTTTTTGACCAGGGCTAGGTTGGAACCCCCCACCTCTGGCATATGGGGCCGGTGCCCTACTCCTTTGAGCCACAGGTGCTGCCCACCCTCAATATGATTTTAAAAACTATAACAAAACAGTTAGGGCTGTTAACAGGAAATGCCAGATAAAAATGATTATTACATTTACAGTCATAAGTCACTTAACAACAGAGAATATGTTCTCAGAAATGCATCATTAGGCAATTCTGTTGTGTGAGCATCACAAGAGAGTACTCACACAAACCTAGATGGTATAGCCTATGACACGCCTGGGCTGTATAATATAGCCTATTGCTCTTAGGCCACAAAGGTGTACTGTACTGAATACTGTAGGTAACTGTTACACAAATCACTAGGCAATAGGAATTTCTCAGCTCATTGTAACCTCAAGGGACCACCATCATAAATGTTGTCCACTATTGACCAAAACACTGTTCTGTGGTGCATGATCTGGGGTGCCTGACTATGTTACACAATAAAGGATTTTATAGTAATTAGTTATAAATAAGTGTATAAAGAGCTGGGCCTAGTGGTTCCTACTTATAGTCCCAGGCACTTGGGAGGTTTAAGTGGGAGAATCCCTTGAGGCCAGGTGTTTGAGGCTACAGTGTGCTATGATGACCATGCCACTGTACTCCAACCTGGGTGACAAACCAAGATCCTACCTGTTAAAAATATATATAAAGAATAAAATAGAAAAAGGGCTGCTCAAGCTGGTGGAATGCTTGAGCTCAGGAGTTTGAGACCAGCCTAAGCAAGAATGAGACCCCATCTCTAATAAACATAGAGAAACTAGCTGGATTTTCTGGTGGGTCCCTATAGTTCTAGCTACTAGGGAAGATGAGGCAAGATGATCCCTTGAGCCCAGGCGTTTAAGGTTGCTGTGAGCTATGACACCATGGCACTCTAGCCACAAGCAACAGAGTGAGACCTTGTCTTAAAAAAAAAAAAAA